GACCCACCAAAGAACCTGTGTTGACCCACAATGACCCAAGGGAAGGCTGGGGCCCCTCCAAGGCGTCTGTGAGTGGCGGCCCCAGCCTCCAGCCCATCCCCTGGGCGGTGGTATAAGCACAGGTACGAGCACAGACAGTATGGGATGCAGATGACCCAGCGAGATAAAACCGATCAGGGACCGTAAGTGACCACACAGACTGTATTGTGGCTGGTTCTGCCCAGCGCACGCTCCGGACGGGAGACAGACCACAGGTAGACTGGACTCAAACTGTTACTGCAGAATCTACACTAGGCACATTTCTCCCTTCTCTGTGTTCAAGTGTTGCCTAACCTTGTATTTTTAACTACTATAAAAAATGGACTGAGTTTGAGTTAAAAACTGACCACCAAAATGGATCTCAACACAGATCTAAAGCCCAGAGGAGGAGTGTTGAGCTGATCTCACAGCAACTCCCAGATGTCCCAGGTGCCTAAAATCCCTTCTCAATACTAAACAGTGGGTTGATTCTCTTTTTACAATAAAAAATGCTGAGTAATTTTGCATAGGAGTACCAGAAGCTGGCTCATTGGAAACGAGAACTATTTACAGTAAATAAAAACCCGGTTGCAGGCTGCTTCTGCACATGTACAGCATGATGAAGCACACTGGGACCAACGACGAAGACATCATCTGGCGCTCACTCCACAGGGGCACATTTGCCACATGAGAGGAAAGCAAGGGTGAAGGAGGGAGGAACGGGGGAAGAGAAGAATTCGGCTCACTTCTGGTTCCAGAGCTGATTGGACAGCCAGTCCAGTCCCTCATAGAGCCCATCCCCACGGGTGGCACAGGTGACCTGAATGTAGCAGTTCTGTGGTGCAGAGAGCGCAGGCCCAGCTTATCAGTGATCTTGGCCGTGTTCATGGCATTCGGGAGGTCCTGCTTGTTTGCGAGCATGAGCAGAACAGCATCCCTGATCTCTTCTTCCGCCAGCATCCGCATGAGCTCCTCTCGGCTCTCAGTCATTGCTGTCAACCGCTAAGATGAAACCTTGTGTGAAGTAGTGGCGCCACAGAGGACAGATCTTGTCCTGGGCACCCACCTCCCACATGGTGAAGCTGATGTTCTTATACTCCACGGTCTCCACGTTGAAACCTATGGTGGGGATGGTGGTCACAGTCCCACCTAGCTTTCAGTTTGTACAGGATGGTAGTCTTCCCTGCGGCGTTCAGTCCCACCATGAGAATGCGCATTTCTTTTTTGCCAAATAGGCCCCTGAAGAGGTTTGCAAAGACATTCCCCATGCTGTAGACCCAAGGGAGAGACACTGGCCAGAGCAGCCACGGTGCTACTGCTACTCCATGCGCTGATTTCAGTCCCCAGTGCACTTCTTTTTTAATTAAAATTTTATTCTTTAATTACAACTTACAGTCAATATTTTGTATTAGTTTCAGGTGCACTGCATAGTGGTTAGGCAATCATATACTTCACAAAGTGTTCCCTACGATATTTCCAGTACCGCCTGGCACCATATATAGTTATTACAATATGAGTGGCTGTGTTCCCCATGCTGTACTTTACATCCCGTGACTGTTCTCTAACTACCAATTTGTACTCCTTAGTCCCTTCATCTTTTTTACCCATTCCCTCACCATTTTATATTTTCATCTCACTCTTCCCATCTGTTAAAGGCAAATGTTCATCACGGTTCCATCTTTTTGTTTGCTCACATAACATACTTTCCTTTTTTTAAGTGTGACATTTTGTTGTCACACTCATTTGTTTTGTACTCTTTGAAGTGAAGTACTTATACTCTACACCTCTGTGTGGAGACAGCTGGCGTTAAAGATCTCTTCCCATCGTTCTCCTGCCTGCTTTTAAAAATCTCATCAGTCCTCAGGGCTGTCCTCAGGTTTCAGTGATCCTAACTGCTTCCCTTTGCTGTCTCTAAGCATGGCAGACCCTCTCTGTTTATTTTGGTCCTGTTCCCACTTCCTGGATGTCTTGTATTAACTGAGTTTTCTCCTCAACCCCTCCCTCCTTTCCTGACAAACTTCTGAAGTCTTAAGAATCTCTTCTGAAGCTGTCTTTCATCTTGCTTCAATGTTTCAAGGTATAGTTGATCATCCTTTCTATTTATAGTATTTAGAACACTATGCTACAATTATTTATATCATCTGACTAATGGATCATGACAGAAACCAGGGAACGCATCCTTTTCAGCTCCATTGTGCCATTTTAGTAAAAAGTGACTGTGTGGATGGCTAGGTAAATAAATGTGCTTTGTAAACCATAAAACACTTATATTTTGGTGGCAATTGTGTTATGTGACTTTTAAGAAGAGGTTGCCTTTTGATAATGAGACATCTTTTTAAAGTTTTTTTTTTTAATTCTCCCATTTCACCTTTCCTTCTGATAACTTATTTTTATAAATTATAAAACGTAATTACTTGGGAGAGAGGACTGATTGCAGCTGAGACTTTTTTATTTCATTGAGGAGAAATTTTCATATAACAGCTTGGCCATTTTTAAATAAAAAGTTGGGGGTTGTTAAGGAGGTAAATGAGTAAATTTTTGGTTTAACTTATTTCCTTTTCCATCACTGTCTTTCTCTGTGGAGGGCGCAAGTCTAGAATGTTATCCACAAACAGTAGATAAAACAAGAATCTGTTATATTTCTGGGTTAACCATCTGGTCAAAATTCATGGCATGCTTGCAAAAGTGTCTAATAGACTTAGTTTGATCCCAGTTTCATTTTATTTTTGCGTCACCGTCTTTAACTTCTTTAAGTCTTTCAGAACTCATTCAGACTTAGTGAACATCAAATACAGATAGTCTTATTGTATTTTCAATATGAGTGCCTGTGATGCTTCACTAGAAAGCATATGAAAAAGCTCATTGTCATAAAACAAATCTTTGTCCAGAAAAATAATATGGTAGTTGGGATTTGTTTTCCTAACTAAGTGTAAAATTTGGGTGTAAATTTTGTTTTAAAAACAAAGATAAAGTTATGTTGGTTTTAATAATTACTTAAAATAATAAAGTAGTGAATGGACTTAAATGAATTGATTTTATAAGGAGTTATTCATTTGTTCAGTCAACCATTCACTCCGTTCAGTTTTCCAACTCTACTATCTCTACCCTTCTTTTAGTATATGACCTCATTTCTAACATCAAAAAAGTACAAAAGCCATCAAAATGAGAAGGCCCCCAGTTTTCTGCATCGGAACCGACGTCTTTGCACCTGTATCTGTCCTTTCCTCTATCATCTTTCTTCCCATCACAATGGAGGAAGTATTTCTCTTTCTAACCCTGACACTAATCTCTCCTCAGTGTATCAGTCATTGTTCTCTTAATTTTTTCTCTCTCTCCTGTATCAGTAGCTTATTTTCTCTGTTTTTTTCCAGTCAGCGCTTAACATATTCATGTTTCTTCCATCTTAAAAAAAATAGTAATTCTTCAACCTTGTGTATCACTCTAGCTGCTGCCTTATTTTCCCCCTTCAGAGAATTGCCTGCATTTACTGTCTCAGTTCGCTTATGCCCGTTGATTCCTTACTCTTCCGCTGTGCAGACCCTGCCCCTACATCACTGTAACTATTTCAGCCTCGTGCACTCTCCGGTGGTGACTCCATCATTTCTAAGCTCAGTGGGCTCTTAGTCCACCTTTTACTAGACCTCTCAGCAGCTTTTGGTACTGTTTACTTTCTGCCCTTTTTGAAAAGTTTTTCTTGCTGGTCCTTCTCTTTGGTTTCATCTCATCTACTCTCCTGTCCTGGGTTACTGTGTATATGCTGGTTACAGTAATTTTCTCTTGCGCGATGGCTATTTATTCATAGGTACCCTGACTCATCCTACACTAATGCAGCAGTCATCTTCTCATGTCTGCACAGCTTTCCCTCTGCTGTGTTTCTTACTCTAGTGCATAATGTTTTCAATAACCTGTTGGCCCGAGGCAGAAATTATCTGTGACTCTACCTCCTTCCGTATTTCCAATGTGCAGTCACCTAATGGTATTGGTTTTATTTCACAGTGGTCCTGTTTATTAACTCTCTGTAGCAACCACTATACCATAGTTTCCACCATCATCTCCCACCTGAGAAATTTTAATAGTATTACTTTTAACTGGTCTCTCTGCCGCCTGTTCTTCTTTATTCCCCCTAAGCATTCAAAAGACAAAGATAATTTTCCCAAATATAATTAATATTCTCTGGTTTAAAAATCTTTAATGGAGTGCTATCTGTTGTTGAGTAAAAAGACTTTTATGTTCTGGTTCCTAATTATATCTGCAGCCTCATCTTCAGTTGTTTACTATATCTGTTTTTTCCTCAAATGCTTTTCTCTCACCTCATATGTCATCACACTGTTTCCCCTCTTAACGCTCTCTGTGGTTTGTACTTGCCCTGTCATAGTACTTATCATTTTTTATTGTAGTAGATTAGTTATATACCTGTCTAGTCCAGTAGACACAGAAAGCTTAAAAGAAGGAACTCCATTGTATCCCTGGTACCTACAGTTCTGGATATGTGGCAGGTGCTTAATAAACACATGTTGAGTGAATCTCTTTGAAGGTTTTTGAGGATGTGAGGATGATACCATGTTTTAAATTATAATTGTTTTGTACTTTAGTGACACATTCATTTATTTTTGACCCACTAATATGTGGATAGGTTTAGAAAGCAAGCAAGTTTTATTTTATGTGTGTGTGTATTGTACATAGAGAAGAAGTGTATACATATTAGAGCAGAAAGAACCTATTACTGGAAGTCAGAAACTCCACTGTCTTCCGTAAACAACTGAGCAGCCTTCGACACATCTTACTCCTTTGAATCTAACTTCCCTCTTCAAATAATGGGATTGAACTAGATTGTCTAAAAAGTTTCTCCTGTGTGACACTCTTAATATTTGTGAGAGGTGTCAAATGTATATTAAATATGTGATTTATATTTATTTTTAATTTTTTAAAAAAACGCATAAATTTATATTTATCTGTGTGTTAAAATAATTTTGTTTTTACAGGAAAGATGATAAAGACTATGCTTTAAAACAAATAGAAGGAACCGGAATCTCTATGTCGGCATGTAGAGAAATAGCAGTAAGTGAACTCTTTTTATCATCATTATTACCAACTGACTTAGAGGGTGAATTATATAGGTCTCTGAATTGTGTTTGTCACATATGCACATTAATTGAAAGTTAATAAATATTTTCATATCAACTATGTATATTCGTTTTTTAAAGAGAAGTAGCGGTGGCATGTAGATCTAACAAAAATTTCTATATAAATTTATTTTATTGGGATTAGGTCACTCTCTATTGTTTATATAAATATATATATTTCCAATAAATGTTACTAAACAGTTAAGGATTCAGTTTTTATTATTTCATCTAGTGTAATAAAAGTGGTATGTTCATATAAAATTAATATTTTTATTTTAATGAGGCTGTTACTTATATTGGCTTAAAATGTGATTGTGTTATTTGATTTTCATTGTATCTGTCTATTTATGTAAACATATATGCCTTTTTCTTTTGGAAGCATAACTTTTCATATGGCATTAGAATCTCATTTTTATTTCAAAGGAAAATATTCTTCATATTGGTCTATTACTAAATACTTATTCATACAATTAAACTGGGTATTACTCCTATGAGATTTCATTTCAGTTTTTAGTATTGTAAAAATGTGTGTCCAAATTTGTTTTTTCTGGCGTTCATTTAAATAATTTTACTCATTTAACAGATTCTATACCATAAGGGTTTTAACTAACAGTCATTTATTGTATATCATGTTGACAGGAACTAGAGTAGGTAGAAGTAAAGAAACAGAACAAGGGTCCCTGGCCATAAGTATTTACATGCTGATGAGGAAAGAGACTAATAAACCTTATAATAATAACAGTATGCCAAGGACTGTGACAGAAGTGTATAGAGAATGGGAGAAGGGTATACCTCTAAACTACAGAGTCACAGCAGGTTCCAGGTTTTGGAGGACATGTAAGAATTACCAACATGAGGGAAGAACGGGGGTGAGGTGGAGGGCATACTTCACCAAAGGTATGCCAGGTTGGAAGTTGTATTTTACTTAATTGATAAATTTTTCATATTTTTGAATCGTGAGGCAAAACATCTGTATATTAACTCTCAGTTCGACACATCCTAGTCTATATATTCTAGTCAGTTTAAAGAATTAAAATCCATTGAATATGGTAGTGATATTAGAAGTCATGATAGTGATTACTTTTGGAAGGGACAGGGAGTGGGAAAACTAGTGGAAGTAACTGGTTTTCAAAATGCTAGTAATATTCTGTTTCTTGATCTTACTCCGAGTCTGGTTATATGGGCTTAATATGTGAAAACTCACTGAGCTGTCCACTTACAGTTGAGTGCTTTTCTCTATGTTTATTATATTTCAACCAAAAGTTTTAAAAACAAACAAAACTCCATTGATTTCAGGAACAGACATTCTTTATGTTTCTATTGATAACTGTAAATTCAGTTTAAGCACAAAAAGGAATATGAAAGTGTATTTTAATGTACTAATTATGGTTCTTCAACCTAAGGCGAACAAAAAATTTTAATTCACAAATTTTTTCCTTTTATGACTATTGTTTTCTGTGTCTGGCTAAAGAAATTTTTATCAACCCATTGATTGTGAAGATATTTCTCTACGTTTTCTTCTAAAAGTTTTTATAGTTTTAGCTTTGCTTTCTACTCTATGATTAAATTTTATTTGTGGTGTGCTATAGGGTTTGAGGCTTTCCTTTGCTCATTCCATATGAATGTACAATTATTTTTTGAAAATATTATTTCCTGTTGAATCCTTTGGCACCTTTGTAGAAAACTAAATGGCTTTGTAAGTATGGGACCATTTTTTCTGGGCTCTATTTCATTCCATTGATCTCTTTGTCTATCCTTATACCAATACCAGATTACTCTAGCCNGGCTTTGTAAGTATGGGACCATTTTTTCTGGGCTCTATTTCATTCCATTGATCTCTTTGTCTATCCTTATACCAATACCAGATTATTCTAGCCCAGTGATTTTCAGCTGGTGTGCTGCAAGAATTTTTAAAACATGCAATACCTGACCTTTTATTTAGTCAGGGACACTCAGCTCTTTTCCCTTAGATTGCCAAATTAAAAAAATGACAATAGCCATCACAACAATAGCTATTCAGTATGAATGAATCAAAATTATACTTATATATTTTTTGTCAGATTGGCAAAAAATATAGTTTTTTGGTGTGCTTCAGAATTTTAACAGTGTATGTGTGCCATAAGATGAAAAAGGTTGAAAATAGTCCTAGCCAGTTTCACTCAGTGGTTAGAGCACTGGCCCGTGGACTGAAGGGTTCTGGGTTTGATTCCGGCCAAGAGCACGTACCTCGGTTGCAGGCTTGATCCCCGGCCCAGGTCAGGGCACGTGCAGAAGGTAACACGTCGATGTGTCTCTCTCACATCGATGTTTCTCTCTCTCCTCCCTCCATCCCTGTCTCTCTTTCCTCCTCTCTTCTCCTCTCCCCCCCTTTTCACTCTCTCTGAAAAGCAATGGAAAAAGTATCCTCAGGTGAGGATTTAAAAAAAAAAAAGTTGAAAATTGCTGCTCTATCATTATTACAAGACTTGAAATATAGCCTTACCAGCTTGGGGATTGTTTGACCTTTGCATTATTGTATAAAATTTTTAATCAGTTAGTCAATTGCTAATTCTAAAAAATTCTTGCAGGGATTATGATTTTGATCAATTCAGAAAACTGACATCTTAATAATATTGAAACTTCCAAGCCATGAATCTAGAAAGACACACTTTCCATTTTTTAAGGTCTTCTTTTATAGTTTTAGTATAGAGGTTTTGTACACCTTTTGTCAAATTCATTCCTAAGCACTTCATGTTTTCTGACAATATTGTACTTAGAGTTATTTAAAAATTTTTATTTTCCATTTGTTTGCTTTTGTACTCAGAAATAGAATTGATTGTTTTATATTGTATATATTTATATGTTTATATATTTATATATTTCATATCTAAATTCACTGGTAGGTTTTTGGTGATATCTTGGGACTTTTCTACATAATTAATTATATCATCTATGACTAAAAATGATTTTACTTCTTTCCATCTTTATGCTTTTAATTTTTTTCCTTTTTTATTGCACTGGCTAGGGCCTTGCATACAATGTTGAATAGTAGTGAGAATCGATCTCTGTGACTTGTTCCCAATCTTGGGGGCAAGTATTTTCAGTGTTTCACCATTAAATAAAATGCTAACTATAGGTTTTTTATAGATATTAGTCAGGCTTAGGATGTTGCCATCTATTTTTTCATAAATGGTATTGAATTTTATCAAATGCTCTTTGGGTTGTTAAAGAGTTCTGGGTCTATGAGTTTGAAGGCTGTTAGTCTAGTGATCTTTCTGGTCGAGCCTTTGTCTTTGGTATCGAGGTTATACTGTCCTCCCGAAACGAGTTAGAGGGCAGTTTTCATCCTCTATTTTCTGACAGAGTTTCTCTGTAATTGGTAGTTATTCCTCCTTAAATGCTTGATATTGTTCACCAACCAGTATTATTTTCTTAATAGATATAGGACTCCTCAGATTTTATATTTCATCTTGTGTTTGATAAGGTGCATTTTTACGTAATTTGTCCGTTTCATTTAAGTTGCTGAATTTATTAGCACAAAGTTGTGCATAATAGTCCCTTATTATTTTTTCACATCTGTAGCTTCTGTAATGATGTCCTTATTTCATTGCCGATTTGGTAATTTTTTTCTCTCTATAAATCATTGATTTCTGCTCTTTATTATTTCTTTTCTTCTGCTTATTTTTGGCTTACATTTCTTTTTTATTTTCTTAAGATGGAACCTGAGGTCATTCGTTTTAAACTATTCTTTTCCTAATATAAGCAATGAAAACTATAAATTTTTCTTTAAACTGTGTTTTACATTCCACAAATTTTGTATTTTAATTATTTTTAGTGCAAAATATTTTCAGTTTACTATGAAATTTAAAAAATATTTTATTCATGGGTTACTTAAAAATGTATTGTTTAATTTTTAAATATGTGAGGCTTTCTAAGTACTTTATTGTTTTTGATTACTAATTTAGTTTTGGTCAGAGAAAAGAGACCCTTTGGTATGTTTTAGAGATACATACTGAAATATTTATAGGTGATACCAGGGATTTACTTCAAAATAATCCCAGTGAAGGTGGAGGAGAGGGTATGAATATATCTAAAATAATATAGGCTGTGAGTGGATAATGCTACAGTCAAACCTTGGTTCTGAAACATCCCCCATCTTGAACAATTCTGTTCTCCACCAAGTTGTTCACGGAAAAAATGTCTCAGTTGTCAATGAAAACTTTGGTTCTCCATCCAACAATCTTTTCATGCTTATACCTGTATGACCAGTCAAGTGTCTCTCAGGCAACAAACAAAGGAGAGAATGAGCGAGTTTGAGTCAGTTTACTGCTAAACTTCAAATTGTTAACATCTCAGGAAATTGTGTTGTGAATATTTTCTAATAGGGGAAAAATTTGATTTGAACAAATCACTTCTTGAACAGACTTGTGCAATGAATTGAGAACCGAGGTTCCACGTATGTAGGGATTTGCTTTACTATTCTATTTTATTTACTTTTGAAAAAATTTCCATAATAAAAAAAAAGAGAAAAAAGTCCCATCAGACCTTTCTCTCTTCCATTTATGAAATCTTCCTCTGAGGAATCCTGTTTCCCACCACTCACCTCCATTGTTCTCTTATAATCTGTACCCAGTTTCTTTTCTTTACAGCACTTATTACAAATTATAACTATAAGGAGTTTCTTTCTATTCGTTAACTTATTTCCTATTTGTTGTTTCTACCCCCACTACACTGTAGCACATTTCTTCAGCAGTGTGTACTAGGCCTGACACATAGTCTTTGCTCAGTAAATAATTCTGAAAGAAGAGAGGAAGAAAACTCTGAGAACGTCTACCAAAGTTAAGAACGTTGTATATCTTCATCCTCGCTGTATTATTAATGGTTTGTTTTGTGTTCCCAGAATTTCATGTGAGCTGGGATTCTGTGGTGTACTGGTTTTCAAACTGTGCTTTAGTG